TATATATATATATATATTTAAAGACGATAACTATGTGTGGCCTCGTTTTATTGAGCTAGGAAATGGGAGGGAACGGAGGGGAAGGAGGGAAGCGAGCGGAGGGCCTAGAACGCGCCATCGACGGGGCTGTTATAACGGTCGCGGGGAGGCCTTGACCGCGGAGTTGTGGCTTCTCCTCAGGTACGGAGGCCGGGCTTTCCCTGTATTTTATAGTCTTAACGGTTTCTGACCTTTCCTGCCGCTTTATCGCTTCACAAATAACAACACAAATCCTTGGAAGCTCGTCCGAGGCTTTTGCCTTCGCCCTAACGGCCGTTAACTTATAATTGCCCACGATCCTCTGATGAGAGGGGGGGGGGGTTATAGGGGAGGGGAAAAAAACCCCGACTCTTTGAAAAGAAAGTCGTCTTTTCCCTCATCAAGCCGTGTGTGGAAGGATTGGACACGTGCGTGTGTTTTTTTCCCTTTCTAAATTATATTCCCAAATAAACGTATGTGTTACACATTGGACAGACGGGGGGAAAAAAAACCTTAACCAGGGGTCGGGTTTGTTTGTTTTTTTTTAAAATAGAGAAACCAAATTATATTCCCAAATAAACGTATGTGTTACACATTGGACAGACGGGGAAAAAAAAAACCTTAACCAGGGATCGGGTTTGTTTGTTTTTTTTTAAAATAGAGAAACCAAATTATATTCCCAAATAAACGTATGTGTTACACATTGGACAGACGGGGAAAAAAAAAACCTTAACCAGGGATCGGGTTTGTTTGTTTGTTTTTAAATAGAGAAACCATATAACAAAAGAAAAAAAGAGAGCAAGGGTTCACGTGGAAGGCTTGTTTCAAAATGAATTTTTAAAAAAGATGTTTTTTTTTTTTTTTAGGTAAATGGGACTTGGGTAAAATGGAAATGTGAGCCTCCATTTAAAAAAAAAATCTCTGTATAATCTCTGTATTCTGGTTCGTTAATCAATTTTTCCTTTTCACTGTTTATTGTAATGTGTTTCAGGTAACAGTCAGATTGCTTGTAAAGGGAGAGGTATTGCTCTTTAGGAAGGCGTGACACAAATTGTACTCTCCCCCCCCAATAAACTATGGTGGACTCCAGTAGATGTTAAGGTTAGAACAGGGGTCGGCAACCTTAAACTCTCAAAGAGCCATTTGGACCCATTTCCCACAGAAAAGAAAACACCGGGAGCCACAAAACCCTTCCTGTGCCTGACTATTTCCTGAGAGGCCACAGAACTAGCATATGTAGTTGAATTAAACGTTCTATTTTCTTCTGAAACTTTACTTTTCTTGGATTTATCTATGGTTGGGCTACCGGTGGTCGAAAAGCTCAATAAATCTTGTGCCGGCGGGTATCACACATTATATGTGATGCATATTTTGAGCAACAGAGCCGCAGCAGAGGGCTGAAAGAGCCACATGCGGCTCCAGAGCCACGGGTTGCTGACCCCCTGGGTTAGAAGAATTTGATCCTTCTCCTTAACTGATTTAACAACTGGCACTAAGACGCAAGTGTGTTAGAGACCAGTCTGCATTATCCCACTGACTGTTGGCTATAATTTTGAAGACCAGTGGAGGTGGCCTCCAACAGCATAATGAATTGGCTAGTATTAGTTTCCAAGATGCCTTGTACACAATATTATAGAGGAAAATTTGACAAATTCACTGAAATTGGCTGGGTTTCAATAGCTATAAACAATTTTAGATATAAAAATGACATACTAAATAAGTTTTTGATAGTGAGACAGTAAAGTACAGTGTCTAAATGTTAAACTTCAGCTTCTTTAAAGGTCTATTCCATTTGATTAAACAGTTTTTTAAATACAGTGAAACAAATGCAATGACTTCATCCCCCAAATAATGAATAATGATCAGTTTCTGATCTGTCTGTACAGTTGTTCATTCTGCACATGCCTTGGTGTTTTTCCTTCTTTGCATATATTTCCATTCTTGTTCATTGTCCTTGAATCACTATCCATCTAATGTTTCAAGATGGAACAGGAAGGGTAGACCAGATCCTGAGCTAAGCAACATTTCTTTAGTGCTCCTTCTCTACCTCCTCAGTGATACAAAGGTGATATTTTGCTCCTCACCATTCTTTACTTCATTTTCCCCCCTATTCCTTTGTCTGCTGCCCTCTGTATCCCTGTCCAGCCCATCCTATAGCATCCCATTTTGTTTTGTTTTTTTTTTTAAAAAAAAATCAAGCTAGACTGATTTTTGTATTAGACAGTAGTAATTTATGCATTAATAGTGCAAGGTGAATTGGACATGTTTACACTTACGAAATTAATTGCTACTTTATCATTCAAAGCTAGATCCTTACTATTGTTTTCATAAATCATGCCCATCATTTGGTCAGACAAAAACTTATGTGAGGGCAGGATGGCATAAATATAACATTTGGTAGAGGTGGTGCCTATTCATTTCCCTCATTTTCTTCAGGGGTAAAGATATTGATAAGGGGAGATTTCTGATTTAAAAGGGTAATCCACATATGTATTCTACTCCTGCTTTAGGCTTGAAAGCCAGTTGGGTGACTTTGGGCCAGTCACTTTCTCTCAGCCCTCACAGGATTGCTGTGGGGAAAATAGGAAGAAGAAGGAGTGTTAGATATATTCACTATCTTTAATTGTTTATAAAAATAATAAAGGCGAGTTGTAAATTAAATACAAAAAATAAAAATTCTGATGTGGAGAAAAAATGTTATAAGAATTTTGTAAACTATGTTTCAGTATTAGAATCAACAGATTAATAAGCAGTTAAATAATATGCAGTTGCAAAGTATTTTAAATGTCAGTTTTTTTTAAACAATCACCTGTAAAGCAAATATCATATATCTTAATTGCCAGAGTTTTCCGTAATAGAACATATGGATCCCAGAAAATTTTCCATTCATATTTGTTAAAGGCAAGTCAAAGGGAGAATGTTTTATACTGTCATAAGATGGCAAACCTAATTCCCTGGCATTTCATTTACTCTTTTCTTCGTCATTTCTACTTTTTGTGTGAAATTCTAAATATTACACCTATATAACTGGAAACTATTTCCACTCATTTTCTAGATAGTTTACCACTTAAATTCTGTCATGTGATATTTATTTATCTAAACAGTAGAAGTAAACCTATGTACACCCAGTAGATCATTTTGCTATCTCTCTGTCTGAAAATGATTTAAATTATGTAAATATCTTAGAATTGTCTGATTGGAAAATATACCATAAAGATATTTTGTTGATTTAAATTTATTTAGATTCTGCTTTTTGAAATATATTTACAGAATTGAAGAAGCTGATATATCGGAGCGAAGTGCAAATGAAGAAAATGGAGATATTTCAGAAGCAGACCAACCACAAATTAAACATAGTCGACATAAAAAAAAGAAACACAAACATCGAGGCAAACATAAGAAACACAAACATTCTTCAGAAGAAGATAAGGACAAAAAGCATAAACATAGGCACAAACATAAGAAACATAAACGAAAGGAGGTGGCTGATATCTCTGATAAAGAAGATGGGCCCGCAAAAAGAACTAAAATTGACTTCTTAGCTCCTCTAGAAGATTTAGAGAAACAAAGAGCATTACTAAAAGCTGAACTTGAAAATGAGCTAATGGAAGGAAAGGTTCAATCTGGAATGGGATTAATATTACAAGGATATGAGTCAGGTTCAGAAGAAGAAGGAGAAATCAATGATAAGGGGAGAAATGGAACCAGATCTGCAAATAAATCGTCAAATGTTAAGGGAAAGCTTGAGATTGTAGACAATAAAAGTTCAAAGAAACGCAGTAAGAGCAGATCAAAAGAACGGACTCGGCACAGGGCTGATAAAAAGAAAAGCAAGTCAGGAGTTGATGGTATAAAAGAGAAAGTTACTAGAAGTAAATCCAAAGAAAGAAAAAAATCTAAAAGCCCATCTAAAAGAACAAAGTCTCAAGATCAAATAGGAAAGTCAAAATCTCCAACCCTTAAAGGGCGCTCTCAAGAAAAAAATAGGAAGTCACGGTCTCCTCCTGAAGATAAAACTAAAGCAGAAGATAAGATCAAATCAAGAGATCGTAAAAAATCTCCGGTTATTAATGAAAATAAAATTAGAGATCGTAGCAAAAGATCCAGATCTCCCATAGAACAAAGAAGCAAATCCAAAGATAGACAATCAAGATCGAAAGATCGAAAATCCAGGAGATCTGAGACCGAAAAAGAAAAGAAGCTCATCAAATCACCTTCAAAAGATATGTCATCAGGGAAAGAAAACCGGTCTCCCAGTAAAAGACCTGGTCGTAGTCCTAAAGGAAGAAGTTTATCCCCAAAACTACGAGATAAACTAAGACGCAGCAGATCACCCCTGCTTAATGATCGCAGATCTAAACAGAGTAAATCACCATCTCGCAATCGATCTCCTGGTAGGAGAGCAAAGAGCAGATCAGCAGATAGAAAAAGAAGAGAATCAGAAAGGAGACGTTTTTCTTCTCCCAGGTAATGCTGACTGAAAAAGATAATGATTTTGGTTTAGACATTACTTACAATTGTGAACGTGGGAGTGGTGGAGGATAATTTTTACCAATATTCTTGCATGCTCCAAAAATCTGCCTTTGGGATGGTATATATTATGATGATATATTGGGGGTGTAAGAAATCAGCAAAATCCATGTCACTTCTTGCCTGTTAGTTATATTGCAAGTTGTCCATGAATAATGGATCCTGTTTTAGAATATGGAAGTCTGGAGGGACCTAAAGAATGTGCAATAAAAATAAATAAATGTTTATATAGGATGCAATAGAATGGGTGAGTTGGCAGTGAATAGAAAAACCTTAGAATGTGTAAGCACGTGATTTGTTTATTTGTTTATTTGTTTATTTATTTTTGTAGTGCCAGTCTGACTTGTATTATTATGAATTGATTCATTTTCATTGGTTTCCTCTACAGTACTGTTATTTTCAGTAGAAACTACCTTCTTCTAATGACTACTACTATACAAAAAAAATCAACAGACTAAAGATTGTTTTACATAAGAATATATTCTAGCAGTAATCAAATTCAAGGAGAAACATATCTATGGCAAGAGTCAGTTTACCTTGAAGGGATTAGAACAATGTATATTATATAATCATTTTGGGGGTTTGTTTAAGATACCCATATTTTGGGGGTTCAGTGGATGCAAATGGTTATAAGGGAGCCTTAATATCTCTTGGGTAATAAGGGCAAGTTGCAGATGCAGTGCAATTCAGAGATTAACAAGAGAGGTATCAGGTGGATTCCTAATTGGCAGATAAATTGCTAGGTTGTATGACAATCTGAGGTGTGGTTGTATTGTTCAGAACGAAAAACACATTGAATATAGTAATAAATATATTTGTATTTTGAGAATTCTAATTTGACTAACACATCTTTTCTTAAAGAAATTAGGCTTGTTCTCTTTATTTCTCTGTACTTGTAGTTTATCAGCCAAATGTAAACAGGGATTAAATAACTTTTAATGTAAATTAAAATATTTTAGTAAACAGTCCTCAGGTTGCTTGTCTATTGGAATCTAATTAGTGTTTGCGTTGCTATAGTTTTATTTTGGAAATCAGTTCAGCGATAGCTGTCAAATGCTTAAATTAGTGTGCAGTCATTGAACATATTAATGTCTTTTGCATTTTAAAATACAGCATATTTTAAAAGAATTTCAAATTCAGTAGAATTTATTTCTGTATATCTATAATTGTTATAAAATAAAATTCACAAATTACATAAAACTGAAAATCTGTTGAAGCAACAGATTCTTCGATTTTGAACCTCTTGACAGTGAATTTTGGGGATGTATGTTTCAGGGTGGCAGGCATAGGTAGAGAATCAAATCTAAAATACTGAGTTGACTCAAAACTTCCACATTTAACATAGAAACAATATCAGTAATCTTTTAATTATGATTTAATGTAAGATTTTCATTAGTTTGGATGGATTGTAAGTAACCAAAAGAAATGCATTTTTATCAATATGCTGTTTATATACTTTTTCTGATAACTTTTAAATGTGATATTTTATTATTTCGTTATTAAATCATTAAACTGGGAAAAATGTTGTGACACTTAGTGATTTACAGATAGGAGATAAACGAGGGTATACAAAATTATAGATAGTGTGAATAAAATAGACAAGGAGAATTTCAAAATTTCTAGAATTAGAATCATGAAATTGAATACTGAAAGTATTAGCACAGAGAAAATATTTTTCTTAAAAACTCAGACCAATTCATTCAAGTTATAGGAAACAATGGCTATTAACCTTGATGGCTGTGTGACTGTCTCTGAAGGCCATCTGTTGCGTGGGAGACTATTAAGCTTCTTTGCTCAATTGGTTGGCTACTGTAAGAAGAAACAGCTGGATTAGATGGGTCAATGTCTGATTTAGTAGGGCATCTTTGTTCTTATGTTGAAGTCCATTTCACCACTACAAGAAGTCCGGATCCAATTCACCAAGTTTAACTTGCCATAGATCTAAGATACAGTCATGAAAAGAAAAACCTTTTGAGTGATGAGAAGCTTTTGAAACTTGGGGAAAACAAAATTTTCAGGCTTTCCTTATGCACATTTTATACAATATGATTAAGCTTTATCGTATTTTTCGGAGTATAAGACGCACCCAGGTTTTGAAGAGGCAAATAAAAAAAAGATAGGTAGATAGAGGGATAGAGAGGAAGAGAAAGAGAGAGAAATACAGTAGGTTGGTAGGGAGAGAGAGAGTAGGTAGGTAGGTAGATAAATGGATACATACATACATACATACATACATACATACATACATACATACATACATACATACATACATACATACATATATATATATATATATATATATATATATATATATATTTAGAGTCACAACCCCTGATAAGCCCCAATTATGGGAGGAAGCTAACTGCTTAGCGACCCTATCCCG